TTGCCCAGTAAAGGTGAGGGCAAGATTATGCCATCACTACATACAAACTAAAAACTACCATATGGATGCAATACGGGGGAGGAGGCGGGTGAAAAGTTTGACAAAACTTAGAAATTGTCTACGACAATATAATGATATTCACTTCACAGTAGTTCGTGCGTGAATGAATTTAACTTTGCAAGGATGTGTTCATCACCCCCTCAGTAATCCTTGTTGTATCAGGTTGTGCCAGGTTATATCCTAGCTGCAATTCCTAAGTACACAGTATTATCCTATTAGGCTATTACCTACTTATCTAAATCTCAGTCTAGGGTGGAAAGCATAAAAATTCTATTAGCAAGCCAATATTTTATATATGGTAAATATCAGTGGATAAATTAATATGAGAAAGAATTTTACCAAGAAACAGCTTGTAACTAACCAAATCAGGTGTAGTTTGTATGCATGAAATAGGTGAAAATATGTGGATAAATCCACACACAAGAGTCATCACAAGCACTAAAAAGCAATGAAGCTAGACCACTATGATTAACAAGGAAAAAATGATAGCCAACCCGAATGGAAAACCATTTCATAAATAGAATGTAACAAGTACTCACAGTGTCATGGCACGGGAAACAATAAGAAATCGCTAAACAATAAATTGACGTAGTGCATACATCTAACAATGCATTTGCAGCCCTCATAGGAGGGTTTTCAACTTGTGGTTCTTGAGCCATTGAGGAAGAGGTTTGCTGAGGCAGAATTTCCAGCTCTGGCTTTGGATTAACTGCATCTCATGAGAATTGGACATCTGGGCCTGTAGCTTCAGTCATCCAAACTTGGTGGAAAATTTGTTGTACTTGTTGATCATTATTGTCTTGCTATTACTTCCCACTTTGTCACCAAATTTAAATGAACTGAGCCAGAAATCAAGTGTATCTGCTTTTTATAGCCTCAATAAACCGTTTATATGACTATTTATTATTCACAAATCTCATATGGTTACAGTGCTGTTTATACTAAAACTGTGTGTACCTGTGTGGATAGTACCAATGTAAACTTGCTGTGCTGAGTGGTTATATTACTACCTGAAACAAACAAGCAGAAACTTGACATTTCGACATAACAAGACATATCAGATTTAGATTAGTTAAACCAAAGTTTCATGATCCAAGAGAGTGAACTCTTCTTATCTTTAAATGTAATAACAAAAAAATTGTTTGTATATTTCTATTTAATTTGTGTTTTAAAATCTTTCAGTAGAAAATCGTCGCAGCATAATTTTATTTATGTCAAAAGCAGTACCATATCTAATAAGAGTTTTTAATTAATAACATCAACTCTCAAATTTTTTTGTAGTAGCAGATGGGAGTTGTTCAACATCGAGGCAAACAACATTGGTTGCAAAAGGAGGCACCCTTCGTTTTGGACCAAAGTTGCCAGTAAGTCTGAAATTCGGCAGGTACAAAACACAGGTTGCAATTTTGCAGGTTGGGAATTTTGCAGGTTGGGAATTTTGCAGGTTGGGAATTTTGCAGGTTGGAATTTTGCAGGTTGGGGATTTTGCAGGTTGGAATTTTGCAGGTTGCCAGGAATTTTGCAGGTTGATGATGCGTACTGAAAATTACACTACTATAAAGTATTCTAGTATAATTAATTCTGTACTTATTGCAGTCTGACTCCTTGTCGCCGCTTGTGATATCAGCCTATCCTGCTACCATGTTTCTAGCCTCTGCTGTAAGGAGTGGCCATCACCCTTGTGAAAACATTCAAAATGACCAGATTGGCTTGGACCTTCAGGAGGACGAATGTTTCGATTGTTGCGAGGACCCTACATGACGTGGTGGCAGTTCAGAAAATGTGTGAATGAGGGGTCTCTCCTCTGCACCCACTTATGAGACCACTCAAGCCCCCAATAGTTAGTTAACTTTTAACAGCATTCTAGTATAAATGCCGCCACATCATGTAGGCACCTCGCAACAATCAAAACATTCATCTCCCTGAGTCCCTGTAGGTCCAAGCTAATCTGTTCATTTTGAATGTTTTCACGGGGGTGATGGCCACTAGCCTTAGAGCAGAGGTGCCGACAAGGAGTTGGATGACAATAAATGCACAACTAAATTATACTAGAATACTAAAAAAGTGGTGTAATTTTAAGTTTGCATTATCAACCTGCAAAGTTCCTGGCAACCTACAAAATTCCAACCTGCAACCTGCGTTTTGTACCTGCCTGTCTGAAATTATTGATAAACAATATTTGCTCATTGCAGTAAATGTAATACTCCTTATATACAACCACTTGTTTGATGAATGTTCCCAAGCTTCTTTTGCCAATACAGTGGATTATAATTAGAGTAATTTTGCATTACAAACTGAAAACATTAACCCGTTGAGTTGCAGTACTCTTTCCTGGACAAGTAAAATTATCTGGCATTCTACAGAGTAAAATAATAATGCAGGGTGCATCCAGGCACATTGCCATTTAAACTAAAGGTTAAGCATTTGTATACATATGCAACAAGCATACAAAACTGCTTTCGAATTGTAATGTATTTGTTACCTTTTGCATCTATTTGTTCATTCCATTTCTACCTAAAGTTGGTTATTTTCTAAAAAATAATGTTGCACTACAGGTAGACTATGTGAAGCGTTTCTTTTTTAGTCTTTCGAGTTCATAATGCTACAAATATGTTTAATATCAAGAATATATATGGCAATACAATACGTACAGTGTCAACAAACTTAAGCAGTTAGTCATGTGATAAGTAATATCCTGATAGCATAATTAGCATAATCATTAACCTCCTAACACATAAATAATTTGGAATTTCCCCCTGTACAGCTTTATCTATATGTTGTTTCAGTAGCTTGATTTGTATCTTTGCTATTGTGTTAGATAGAAAACCTAACTTGCTTGATTAGGTTGAAAACATGAATGAACCAGAAAGCAGTGAAGTTTTCGTATCCAGTGAAATGCTTGAAAATCAAAGCAAGATATTTGGCTTTAAGAATCCTTCCATGGTTCTCACTGACTATCAGAAAGCGATCGACAGGGCGAGCTTAGAGTTGTGTAAAGCTAATGTTGCATTGCTGGAAAAACGTAGGGGGCTTTTAGAGAAAGCACGAAAGAAAGTAGATGAAGAAGGATATCACTATAAGAAAAACAGCTCTCAATCTACAATCTTTGGATCAGAATCATCTACAGAGTGGAAAGCTAAGAGAAAATATGTTCAATCAGATTGCAGGGATGAGGAAATGTACTATTCAGTCATATGATGAAACTATTGCCCTTCTTCAGAAACAAAAGTTGAATTCGAAATATATTAATTCTGAAAGATATCTGGAAGCTGCTGATATTAACCAAAGGATATTAGACACTACAGAAGTAAGGCAAAGGTGGCAGAAATGAGGAATTTAAAGAAAGCTATTGTAAGATCTAATTTGGCTAAGAAGAATAAAAGGTTTAACAAGCAAAAAAAGAAGTCATCAACCACATTAAAGTTTGCTCCCCTGAAGTCCTGGTTACAAAGAAAGTTTGAGTGCTAGCGGCGGAGATGATACTGAAATTATTGTGTCATCGGATTCAGAAAGTGAAGATGAGAGAAAACAAGTAATGTTCATTCTGGGGGAAGTTATATCTCTCAAATTAAAGACATGTCTTTATCAGAGTTTCAAGTTGCTAGGAAATTGTACTGTCAACATCAACATATACCACCATTACTATCAATGTATGAAATATGTCTGCCTTTAATAAATGCTGCAAAAGAAGTTGAGAGTGATGGAATAGTAAAATTACAGAAAAGAACATTGTTTTGTAATAATTTTAAGGTGTTGTCATACAAAATTGACAAAGCAATCAATTGCCTTATGCAGCTTCCAATTGTTGTTTTAAAAATTAAAGGAATATTATGTTTTGGAGCATGCAAGTCAGACAGACTTTTTTCAAACCTTATTCCAGATAAAAGTGTGCATGTAGGATTGGATAGAGAAAGCTTAAAAGTTCTTTGCAACTTGGCTAGCAGTGAAACTGACCGAAAACTACTAAAAACTGTAGCGACAGCTGGGTTATCAGCTGAAAAAGCAAAAGCCCTGTTTGGAATCAGTAACTTGCACAAGTTGAGAAATGACGTGGCACAAGCTGTTCAAGAGTATGATTCAATATGAAGAAATGTCGATGACATAGTAAATGCCAAAATGAAAGCAACATTTCAATCTTCCGAAATTGTTTTCTCAGATTCAGATGCATATTCAGATTCTGATTCCAAAATTGGAGTGTCTGATGATGAACTTGACTGTAGTGATTGTGCCAAAAATTATAAATAAATCAGACTTGAAAAATATTGAAGATGAAAATGTTGAACTTGGAAGTGAAGGCTTGCCAGCATGTCACAGTTTATTGCAGGTTCTTCTAGAAAACAATTTAATTGGATATCATTTGTTGCAGAGTTGGTGGTTTTTTGTTAAACGATATTGACACACAAAATTTCAACAACTTGACAACCACTTTTTTTAATGAACTTATGTGCAAAACTGACCTCCATGCTGATCATTTAAAACTGGTCATTGAGTTAAGGCAAACATACTCTGAAAGCGTTATTGCAATGGGTGAAACGATGCCCAGTGGGTTTGCGCAAACTGAATCAGAAAGTGAAGATTAGAACCAAGCCACTTTCCAAAAACTAAAGAAATGACTTTTGGCCAATGAGGTAGCAAAGAAATCATTCCTGAATCCCTTTCCAAATTCCCCAACATAGGGAAGGATATTGAGGAATATGCAAAGGATTGTAGAATAGGAGTGGACTCATGGCGGAGGGCCCTGAAGGGGTAAAATGGGAACTGGGATTGATCTATTTTTAGACTGGGAAAATGAGATTTGGGTTGCTGGGACTGGGATTTGGCCACTGGGAATGGGAAATGAAGTTCTCAAAAATGGGAATGGGATTGAGGTAATGCGAGTCGATTCCCAATTTTTCTACATTCCAAGTATTTTAAAATACAATTTTGTTAATCCGTTTTTGGTGTCTTCGGTCATGATTTTTGTTGTCAACTATATTATTCACAGCACTACCTGCGAACAGGCATACTCTGGCGCCCGGAATTCTGGGTTTTCTGATTATGTGTGTCTCAGAATGCTGCAAATGCCATTTCCGGGATTCAAATTAAAAAATTTTCCGTGCCTTCGCCACAAGCCTGTAAATAAATCAAACTTTTAATATGAACAACTTTACAACTCTATCAGCGTGACCACATGCTCGTCATGTTGAGTTCCACTGTGCCACTCTGCCACGCAGACTCAGTCACGTGCTATTCACATTAACATAAAGAATATTAACAAATTTCACTATTTTATTTAAGCAAACAATATACCAGTTTGTAAGGCGTTTCTTAGTACTTTGGGTGAGGCACCTTTCATCGTTAGACTATCTGCAAGTTGCCTATTGGTACTGCACCAATTAACAGATGTAATCTGTTTTGCTTCAATTAACTCTTTTATGCTGCTAATATTTAACCTAAGACGTTTTTCTGACACACTCTTTACTGACTTCAAGGATTCATAAAGTGAGTTACAGTCGGTGTAACATTCTATGGGAAACATGGTGGGGTAAGGTTTACCATACATTAATTCAGCAAGAAGAGTGGTTGGCACTGACTGGTTTACTGAGTCGAACAGGGATTTCTTTTAATATTTAATGAGATAATATATTCTATACAAAATGAAAGTTACCTAGTATAAGTATAAAGGCTAAAACACATGCATTCCAATCATATTTTCGCGACATAACATGGTAAAATTGACTAATAACACAATACTACAAATATAACATATAAAACAATTAAACATCTGTACCTGAAGGGTAGATCCCTGCAGGACTTGACTCTGACTACAACTTTACGTTAATCTCTCTAACTATCCGTCCTTTAAACCGTCTCTTTACTCTCGTGTGTCTCTCTTACAAAATACTGATACAACTAACGCCTATAATGTCACTAAAAAATGTCATCACTTAAATGTCTATATAAACCATAACAGAACTTAATATTAACTATGTCAAATGTCAAATGTTGCTCGCTATTTACACCAACCCTCCGGGGCCACAGTTCATGAATGTTCGTCTAACTAGCTTCTATTAAAACACATAACTTTTGCACAGACCTTTTGTACTGACCATGCTGAGTTTTCACTAACACATTTCTTACCACACCATCTTTCCCAGGGTAAACTTCAACTCGACCTAACTTCCATTTTCCTCTTGGTGTCTCATAATCCACCATCAGGACCAAATCTCCAACTTTCATCTGTTGTTCTTTCAATCGCCATTTTCCTCGTTTTTGCAACGTCGGTAGATATTCTCGTATAAATCTTTGCCAGAACTGCTGTACAAGGCTCTGGATAAACTAGAATCTTCGACTCAAAATCTCAGATCTCTCACTCTCAAACGATCCGTGAGGAACACTGTTCGATAAGGAAATGGTTAGGGGTAAGGGGTTGTAAGTCGTTGGGATCGTTCGGAGGGTATCCTAAAGGTCTTCCATTTATCAGAGACTTAACTTCAGCGAAAACCGTGCTCATTTCATTCCAAGACAGATTCTGATTTCCAACTACGATTCGAATGGCACTCTTAACTTGCTTTATCAGGCTCTCGTATATTCCACCTTGATGAGGGCTCCTTGGTGTCGTGAATATCCAACGAAGTTGGTAGAGTGTTGCAAAATCTTCAAGTTTCTTTCTCTCCTTTACAACCAATTCTCTCAACAATCTCTCAGCACCAACAAATGACGTCCCGTTATCGGAGATTATCGTGCTTGGCCAGCCATGATGTGAAGCAAAACGTCGCAGTGCATGAAGAAAGGCTTCAGCTGACGTACTCTCTACGATTTCTAGGTGAATGGCTCGAACTGTCGCACAGGTAAATATAGCACCCCAGGCTTTGACACTCTTATTTCGTGAAACTTTAAGATTAAACGGACCGAAAAAGTCCACTCCAGTTACTGTAAATGGTGGAGAAAACGGTTTCACTCTCTCTTGCGGAAGATCAGCCATCAAATGATCAGCCATGTGAGGTCGTTGACGAAACTTACGACACACTAAGCAATTCTTGATTATCTTCTTAACTATACGCCGTCCACTCATGATCCAATATTCATGTCTACTCTCAGAGAGGGTTCTTTCGCAGCCAGCATGGCACACTTTCTCGTGAAATTCTTCCATTATCAATTTCGATATGTGGTGGTTTCCGGGTAGCAATATGGGATGTGCTTGATCATAGGGAAGGGACGCTCTCTTTAGTCTACCACCAACACGGATGATATCGTTTTCGACAAAGGGCGTAAGATCCTTGTAACGATCTTTCCAATCAATCAACGTGCTCTGTACTTTAAGAATCCAAAATTCTTTGGCATCATTTATTTCGCTAGGTTGGAGAGGACCTGACTTTAACTCCAACTTGTCTTGTGCGCTAACTCGAGCATTATGACCAAAACGCTTGCAGTAAGCTGTAATTCTGACCAATCGTTGCCAATTTGAAAAGTTTTTTGGATCTATGCACGGGATATCAGGATTGAAACTCCCCAGGATCTTGGGTTTCTTTCTTTCTGGATCATTCTGAATGGTCTCCACACTTTCGCTTGGCCACTCGCTGTTTGGCAATTTCAGGAACGCCGGTCCTTGGAACCATCGAACATACATATTTTTCACATCAATTCCTCGACTTAAATCGTCGGCAGGATTCAGAGCAGAAGGAACATAACGCCAATGACTTGATTCCCATGTTGACTGAATTTCAGCTACTCAAACTCCAACGAATGCTTTCAACAATGCAGAATCTGATTGTAACCAATGCAAAACGATCTTCGAATCGGACCACAGTTTAACTACAGCTGGCTTCGTTTTAAACTCGTTGTAAATGGTACTTGCCAATCTTGAAGCGACCAGTGCTGCCATAAGCTCTAACCGTGGAATGGTTGCCTGACGTAAAGGAGCAACTCTTACTCTCGAGGCGATGAGATTAACTTTAGGACCTTCTGTGGTGGCCCAGAGAAGATATGCAACCGCTCCATAAGCTGTGGCACTGGCATCAGCGAATACATGCAGCTCGGATGGACCACAAATTTCATCAGAACGTAAACAACACGGGATTGTAATTGTGTTTAAACTTTCCAATTCTCAGAAAAGTTTGTACCACAAAGTACGCATTTCTTCAGTGGGTCGTCCCAGTGGGTCGTCCCACTCATACTTCTTTGCTTTCCAGATTTCTTGGAGAGCGACTCTTGCTTTGATGGTTACTACAGAAGCCAATCCAAGTGGATCAAACAAACGTGAAATCCTCGACAGAACTGTTCTCTTCGTTAACGTTTCTATCTTTATTTCCTTTACTGAGAAACTGAATTTGTCAGTCTGTGGATTCCAATTGACTCCTAAGGTTTTGACCTTCTTCGCCGTCTAGGTTGGCATTCTTTGTCGTTGTACATTCACTATTTACACCTATCACGTTATCTTTGAAATCATGATTTTCTTCTTCCGGACTAGAAATGTTCTCAGCTTGCATTTCTTGAACGGACGACGAAACAAACCATTCCTTTATCTTAAAACTCCCCGTAGCTAACATGTCGTCGACTTCGCTTTTGGACTTTTCTGCTTCTTCCTGCGTGCTTGTTGAATGAATAAGATCATCCATGTACCGATCACGTTTGAGAATCACGGCAGCTTGAGGACATTGGGACTCATTTTCATTCGCAATCTTGATCATAACGTAACTTGCCATGTCCGGCGATGGTTTATCTTTGGCTTCTTCTTCTTCTTGTGACAACTGACGCGACCAACCATTTCTTTCATATTCATTCATGACTTGATTGTACAGACTAGCCTTAACATCGTTCCTTTTCAGGCTTCTTTCCAGCGAAAACAATCTTTTCTCAGCGAGTGAATAATTGTTAGGCAAAAGATTTTTATCTTTCTTCCAAGGAAGTCCAATGATATATCTCCCTCCTTGCTGCTTACAGGAGTTCTCCATTAACTCGATGGCTCTTCTATCGTCAGGTGACATAGCTATCTGTGGACAATGACATTGGGGGGCTTGGATTCCGAGGGTTTCAAACTCGTAGAATTTCTCTAGGTTGAGGGTTGGACAAAACTTATTGAACATACTTTGGACGTTTTCTGTGAACTATCAGAACTGATGACAAACCATCCTAGCTTCGTTCTTTTCCCAACAGGCTCAAATTGACTGCCTTGATGTACTTCATCTTCTGCGTGCAAATGACTGAACTGGACACCTAAGATAAGATCAATTGGACCAGCTTTATGCGAGAAGTCGATGTCTCGAAGGTGTGCAAAATAATTTCAACCACGGACGATCCAAACGTGGGACACTTAAAACGGTTTTCTCGATCTTGTGGGCTTCTATTCTGTGCTCTTTGGCTCTGTTGAGTGCTGAGATTGAGAAGGTCACTCTTCTGCTTTGGGGTTGTTCAACTCTTTCTCCTCCAACAACGGCTAGGTCAATTTTTTCTCGTTTGCCTTGCAGACCAAGTGATCGGGCAAAATCCTTTCGAATTACTGTTGTACCTGCGCTGCTGTCGATTAGGACATTTCCTTCGCGTGTTCGACTGTTTGGTGCTCTGAAACAAACTCTAACAACTGGTAGAATGCTTCCCTTGTCCAGTACTGATGATATGCCGCTCATTGTTCCAGGCTCTTCATGTAACAGTTGATGATGAAGTCTTGTGCATCCATTCTTCTCGCATTTTTTCTTCAATCTACAGTCTCTCATCATGTGACCTTTATTCAGGCAAGAAAAGCATAATCTTGCCTCTCTCGCTAAGTTGAAACGTTCTGGGACGGTGGAATCAGCCAAGGTAGGACATTCTATCACTTTGTGGTCTTCATTACACACATAACATTTCAAGGCTTTCGAATGCTCGTTCCTTTGTGCTGCGTTAATTCTGTGTCGTTCTCTTGCTTCGCCCTTTCGCGGGTCGTACTTGGGAGGTTTTAGAGACATATCTCCAAAGTCGGGATCAAATTCCGCCTTTACTTGTTTTCGCAAAAAGGTACTAATATCTTCAATCGTAGGGGATCTTTGTTTCTCTCTAATATCTATTACTACGCTTTTCCATTTCTGAATGAGATAATCCGGTAATCTCATCACTATCTTTCGGAGGTTGTCACTGGCGTTGACGTCAGCGAAGTACTTGACTTGATGCATGGTTGCTACGCAATTAACTAAGTCTATCGAAAGTTCTCGAAGCGTGCGTCTATCGTTACGTTGAATCTTGTCTCCCTTGGTAAGTTGATTAACCAAAGAACGAACTATAGTACTTGGCTGTCCAAATTGTTCCTTTAAAATCTTTAATGCTGTCGCATACATAACACCCTTTCCCCTTGGACCCAAGTCCCGAAATCGCACGTTCAGCGTCTCCGGTAACGTGCATTTTTAATTGAATCATTCGCATGTCATCTGTCAAGTGCAGTTTGTCATGAATATGAATCCTGAATCGATCAATAAAATCGGCATAGAAGAGCGCGTTTCCACTAAATTTGGGAAGTTTAATGGTCGGTATATCTTTACTCGCTTCTAATTTATAAAGTGCGTCAGCGACAGAGACACTTTGAGATAATTTGGGCAAAACAGTTTCTTTAAACTCTACCAAATTGTCTATCCATGCGTCAAAGGGGCAGGGTGGTTTTGGGGACGGTAAATTCGTACTTATTGTATTTTGACTTGTGGGGCTTCAGTTATTTCGTTTGCTGGGTTATTTTGAATACTTGACACAGGTATAGTCACAGCGGGAGTCTGCATACATTTCTTAATGCAGATAAATGTAAAGAACTCCAAATCGACTTTAAATCCACGAAACAGAACTTCGACCCTCTTACAGTCTATGGGAAGAAATTGCCGGTTGTCCAAAACGCTAAAATTCTAGGCCTCACCATCTCTAGTAACCTTAAATGGACTAACCAAATTAACGAAGTCATCAAAAAAGCTAACAAACGTCTTTACTTCATTATCTTACTTAAGCGTGCAAACGTCAGTCCGAAAGACATTGTAAACTTCTACTTTACAGTTATCAGGCCCATTTTGGAATATTGCCCCAGTTTTCCATTACTCAATCCCATCCTTCCTGTCAGAAGATCTTGAGACAGTACAAAAGCGAGCACTGAAGATCATTTTACCCGCGAACTCATATAGTGAAACTTTAGAATATTTCAATCTTCAAACTTTGTTCCAAAGACGCGAAGAAATATGTAACAAACTTTTTTACAAATATTACTAACAATCCGACACACAAACTGCATAATTTACTGCCTCCCAAACATGAGTCGGTTTACCAACTTAGGAACAATAGACTGTTTGAACGATTCGAAACTAATACAGAAAGATTTAAAAAACTTTTATTCCTATGTCTAGTAACTTAAGTTAATGTAATTTTTAGTACTAAGCGTTTTAATGACCATTTGTAAATATGCCTAATTAACCCATATTCTATCTTTTAAATAATGTTTTATATACTTTTGTAAATCACGCAATTCAGCTGTCCAGCTGCAAGGTGAATTTTAAATACACTATCTATCTATCTATCTATCTCATACTTTGCATATTTTGCGAGGTACTTCGGATTTGCGAGGTTTGTGATGCCTTGGGCAACGAAATCGTACTTAAATAAAGTTCAGTTTCTTCTTCGATCAAATAAACATCGTTTGTTAGATCGTTTTCCCACTTGTCCATCGTTGGTAATTGGGATTCGTTTGCGAAATCATATAATTGCGTGTGGAACTCGTGTGCGCTTTCAAAATCGCACCTCAATTCTGCCATCTCTTTATCAAATCGTGTTTTATTGTGATTGTTTTGTTCAATAAATTCCCTAATACGTTTTATAGAACGAGTGATTCGAGCTCTAAGTTGTCGGCATTTACTCTTAATTGCGACTTGCTGCTCTGGGTCAGTATTTTCTGAACTAAGGGTTATTTGTACTTCTGGTTCGACCATTTTGCAATTTTCAATGTTCAATTATTCAATGTTCAATGTCACGCAATACTGTCGTCTTTGATTCTCAAATTACTTGTACCAACACTCGCTTTTGCCTGCTAATCGGCACACATAACCTTCAGAAGTTGGTTGGCACTGACTGGTTTACTGAGTCGAACAGGGATTTCTTTTAATATTTAATGAGATAATATATTCTATACAAAATGAAAGTTACCTAGTATAAGTATAAAGGCTAAAACACATGCATTCCAATCATATTTTTGCGACATAACATGGTAAAATTGACTAATAACACAATACTACAAATATAACATATAAAACAATTAAACATCTGTACCTGAAGTGTAGATCCCTGCAGGACTTGACTCTGACTACAACTTTACGTTAATCTCTCTACTATCCGTCCTTTAAACCGTCTCTTTACTCTCGCAGTGTCTCTCTTACAAAATACTGATACAACTAACGCCTATAATGTCACTCAAAAATGTCATCACTTAAATATCTATATAAACCATAACAGAACGTAATATTAACTATATCAAATGTTAAATGTCAAATGTTGCTCGCTATTTACACCAAAGAGTACATAAGAATATACTATTATCTATTCCCTCCGCCAAGGCGAGGATTTCAGCAGCGAGAGTGCTCTTTACTACCCTACGGATTTTCTTAGAATTCCACCAAATAGGTGAGAATCTTCCCGATTCCCCCAACAAGTAAAACCAAATATCCACCCTGACTTCCACCATTTGGCATGTTACCCAACGAAGCATCACTAAAAACAACAAGCTTTAACTTCTCTTTACTGCCCAAGTTTTGAAATTTGAGAGAGGATTTTGTGACCTTCGCTTTACCAATAATTTTATTTATTTCCAGAACATGCTGCACAGTGCCTTTGTTTATGTTATTAGCCACACTGGTCACATCAAACAGTAAGTCAGGGCGACTTTGATGAGCCAGCCATAACAGTTGACCCACCTTGGATCTCACACTATGTTTTTCACATTCCGTCAACTCACTATCTTTTTCAAGAGCTCTAGAAGCAGTAATGTCAACAGGTTTAAGTAAATCTGTATAATCTATCTGATCAAGATATATCACACCATCTTCACCATATTCCAAGTCAATACCACAATATTTGAAGGCTTTATTGCTTTCTTTGCCAGCACTTAAGATAGATCTTATCCTACTTATGACATTTTCAAATTCGGGTTTACCCCCCCCCCCCCAAATACAATCATCAACATGACATGCCAATATCCCATAAACATTACCATTTTCATCAAGCCAATAAAATACAGCAGGGTCAACTTTAGAAACACATGCTCCCAGTTCTAGTAACAGAGATTTAACCCTACAATACCAATTTATATAAATCAAACTTTACACTGTGATAACTTGTAATATCAACTTTTAATATGAACAACTTTACAAATATATCAGCGTGACCACATGCTCGCCATGTTGAGTTCCACTGCGCCACTCTGCCACGCAGACTCAGTCACATGCTATTCACATTAACATAAAGAATATTAACAAAGCCTCCCTCCCAATATTTCATAAAGTTAAGTGTCCGCCACTTGCACACACGGTGGCTTAAAAGGTCTTAAGTGGCAGTCCCGCTAAGAGCGGTCCGATGACTTTGACTTCGGAAAATAGATTTGCTTTATTTTTTGTGTGTTGAAAGGCATTGGTATACAAGTGTCCAAAATAAATTTATTTTTTGAAAATTCTTTTTTATGGCTTCGCTAGACGCCGAAACTCATTTCACCCGTGCAGAGCTAATTTCAAGCAAAATCGAAGGTTGAATTTCGGTAAATTGTAGAGCCGCGCTGTGTCAAAACGCCTGACTATTTCCAAATTTCAACTAGATCAACAAGTTAAGATACAATTCAGGTTCCCTGTTCCAAAAAATAAGAGCATTTGAGTAAATTGTGAATAAACGACAGCGACTTGACGGCACACCGGTTTTTGCTTCTTGTTCGGTCTACAAAATTACACTAAAATCGAAGCCTGAGATCTCCAAATGGGGACCTAAAATTACGCTGAAATGTGCTTGGCTGTAATGATTTATACTTATTTTCAGAAGATCTGAAGAAAAACCTGCGGGTATCAATCTGTATTTGGCGCGAGTTAAGATTTTCTGGAGCCCATAATCAATGATTTTGCATAATTTATAGCTAATTAACATATTTCTTGAGAGGCGCTAAAAGTAAACAATTTCTTTCTGACTAACATATCTCAGATGAAAGAAACTACCACAGCTAGTAATACCCTTTTTGTAAATATAGTCGTAATGTTCTTTTCCTGACACGCTGAGAGAGCTTTGTTTTTGAATGTTATACCACATTTATTCAGTCTGACCAGATTCATATAAATGTCACGAACTTGTATATTTCAAAAATATTCCAGAAATCAGAATTCAGAAAGACCGATTATTCTTTCATTGATTCAGTTGATTGATTTAGTTGATTGATTTAAAAAACTACTATAATGGAACATTTCAAGTGTTTCCATTGCCCCTATATAGGCCTAGAATTTTTATCAATATATTCTATTTTTCTGTGGCGACGGCATATTAACAAAATACGACACAAAAATGTACATTCGAATTTATGACCGACATATCAGAATGTTATTTATGAAGTTTGAATTGAATTTACTTAACGCGAAATAAATACTAAAATAGGAATTTTCTATGCTGGGTTAGTAAAAGAAAAAGCATAATTTTAATTGTATGTAAATCAAACTTGTAATATTCAATTCAAACTTCATAAATAACATTCTGATATGTCGGTCATAAATTCGAATGTACATTTTTGTGTCGTATTTTGTTAATATGCCGTCGCCACAGAAAAATAGAACATATTGATAAAAATTCTAGCCCTATATAGGGGCAATGGAAACACATGGAATGTTCTATTATACTTATAGTTTTTTAAATCAATCAACTAAATCCATCAACTAAATCAAGGAAAGAATAATCGGTCTTTCTGAATTCTGATTTGTGGTACTGATATTGTTGAAATATACAAGTTTGTGACATTTATGAATCTGGTCAGACTGAATAAATGTGGCATAACATTCAAAATCAAAGCTCTCTCAGCGTGTCAGGAAAAGAACATTACGACTATGTTTACAAAGAGGGTTTTACTAGCTGTGGTAGTCTCTTTCATCTGAGATATGTTAGTCAGAACGAAATTGTTTACTTTTAGCGCCTCTCAAGAAATATGTTAATTAGCTATAAATTATGCAAAAATCATTGATTATGGGCTCCAGAAAATCTTAACTCGCGCCAAATACAGATTGATACCCGCAGGTTTTTCTTCAGATCTTCTGAAAATAAGTATAAATCATTACAGCCAAGCACATTTCAGCGTAATTTTAGGTCCCCATTTGGAGATCTCAGGCTTCGATTTTAGTGTAATTTTCTAGACCGAACAAGAAGCAAAAACCGGTGTGCCGTCAAGTCGCTGTCGTTTATTCACAATTTATTCAAATGCTCTTATTTTTTGGAACAGAGAACCTGAATTGTATCTTAACTTGTTGATCTAGTTGAAATTTGGAAATAGTCAGGCGTTTTGACACAGCGCGGCTCTACAATTTACCGAAATTCAACCTTCGATTTTGCTTGAAATTAGCTCTGCACGGGTGAAATGAGTTTCGGCGTCTAGCGAAGCCATAAAAAAGAATTTTCAAAAAATAAATTTATTTTGGACACTTGTATACCAATGCCTTTCAACACACAAAAAATAAAGGAAATCTATTTTCCGAAGTCAAAGTCATCGGACCGCTCTTAGCGGGACTGCCACTTAACTGGCTGTTTATTCTACCGATAAATAAAGGGTTTTTTATTGACTGGGATGTCAATAACTCAGACTGGGATTTCTAATAAAAATCCAACTGGGACTGGAATTTTGCCAAAATTTCAGGTGGGAAATGGGATTGGGTCCCCCCTTCAGCACCCTCATGGCGAAGGACTGGTGTGCTGACATTTAGTGGTAATACAAGAAAAGGTCCAAAACTAACATTTAGCCGCACAAAGGAATATCTACATTGGATAAGGTACGATCGTGCAGTTATGTATGGTTCGTAACAGGCATAGACTTTCGTCCAAGAGATATTGGGATGCAGCTAAAATTCATTGCTTCACTGGATTGATCACTGAGCTCGGAGTCAGACTCTAGGCAAATGATTCATGATAAAGACGTTCCAAATGCTTAGAATAAACTAAATATGACTCACTGTCCTTTTTTCATCACTGAAGAAAAAGCTCTTCGCTCCTCAACTTAGTGGGTTAAAATTCGGCCAGATGAATCACTTTAATTTTAGCCTAACTGCTATGGTCTGCTGTAGGCAAAGCTAAAAGTACATCTAACTTGTCGCTAGGCAAATTTAATGCAGTTTTCCGGCCGTTTTCTTATAATTCCATCCTTGCGAAGCTGCGTACAATACAATTCTCATTATCCATCGGCTTATTTGCCATCTTCCAATACCAAACACTCACAAATATCATCTGCCATCACTGCGAAGGTTCTTTAGCTGCCACCAGTGTAAAATAAGACTTATCATTATAAATATCTTGTGTTTTTCCATGTCACAAAACAAAAGCACTTGTCTAACGCAACAAAACACTAGGCCCAATCCTCTTTCCCGACCAGATATGACATCACATTATTTTTCAAAAAAATATAAACTGTTTTATTTTTGTCAATTGTAGATCACTTCTGACACTTTTAAACCCAAAGGTTGTTTACAGCCAGTGTTAGTTTAGTTTCACCTTTAGATTGAAAAGTGAGATAAAATCAACGAAAACTTTACTTATTACCAAGGTAACAATGTTTTTCCGTATCTATGTTTATTCAGTACTGTAACTCTCCATTACAGTTGATTTAACATAACTTTTTGCTGAATGGTGCGAACTTCATTCTGAACTTTGTTGTGAAGTTCAATAGAGGAAGTGCTTAATGGAGGGGGAAGTGTAATAGAAAGGGTGGGTTTAATAAATTTCCTTATCAAAAGGGGAGACTTATTTGAGGGGTTGGGCTAAATATAGTAAATAGAGAGTTTACAATACATTCTAAGTAACAACATTTTAACACAATTATAATGTAATAGTTTTGTTTGTGGAAACACCACATAAATTTACTACTGCAAAGCTTTCGATCGGTAAGCCTGGATCTTCATCAGTGCTAATAATATGTAACTTGTTCAATTCACACGCCCTTTTTATACACAAAAGTATTGTGATCTGTTGGCTCGCGTCATATGAAATTTAATTAAACGGTGCATCAACCATGTCATTTCAAACATAGTGAAGTGATTCCAATTAACACACACACACATCCACTTTGCAGAACATTTTGAAAAACAGTTAAATTGAGCTGGTCACCTTCCAAAGACTCTGGCGCACACCTGTGGTCGGCAGTCCTCAATGTGGATCCACATCTGTCGCAGTGGACAAATTTCCTGTCAGTCGATTGCAGAAGCCTTTAGGAATAGCTCCTGCATGCAATTGATTTCTCCACTTTCTGAACAAATGCAGTGATGGGTACCGTTATTGTCTTGTAGTTATCAGTCTGGATTTCATCTTGCTTGACAAAAATTTTCTGTAGTTCTTTATCAACAATGGCAGAAACAACAGAGTCCACCATTGTGCTGACCTTCTTTACTCCAACCCAAATACGGACATGCACATATCTAAGTAAATACACTTTTCCACTTTCACCCAAAGGAGTGTGCTGCTCCCAGACATCCACCGTGATGGATCCTGTGTTGTCCAAGTAAGTTGCTTGCAGTAATCTCAGCTTTTTTGCTCCAACCTCAGCAAGGTCTCCAACATGAATAGCTGTTCCCAATTTCAGGGCGCATGACGGCGCAATGCAAATTAATGAGTAAAAATATTGTGCAAATTAAATAACTGCAAACAGTACATAACCTTCAGAGGCCTGCCTTTATTGCTTCAATATTATTGTGTGTGGTCTGTAAATAGAAGCTGCTGAGAATATGGATATAATCATTCATACTATATTTCGCTTTGTTCTTTAAAAGCAATTTGTGAACCCAATAACTTTAACCATTATATAACCTTAGAGGTGCCTCTGCCCATGGCCGTCCCACCAACCCGATCATCAGGGTGGAAAATAACGGCTGGAGGGTCGACAGTCAAGGTGACTGGCCAACTCAATTTTAATTTGGACACACCAAATTTCTGGCCAGTCAAATTATTCCTTCACATAAAACAGCTTGCAATGTGCTAAAACTCTTAAGCCAAAAGCATGGCTATGGGCTTTCTGACGTACTGTGTGGGAAATTAATCTGCCGTACATTGAAGTTCTTTTCCCGCAAAATATTCAACAATGTGTTATGGGTTCTTAACTATAATACTTCACAACTTTAGTTTGATTATTAATTCAAATGAAGATTAGTTTGTTCTTTTACCAAAAGTGAACGGTCAAAATGACCGGCAAGGTAAGAATTTGACCAGACATCTCCATATTCTGGCCGGGCATTGTCTATAGACCAGCCGTCATTTCATTCCCTGGACCATCCATCATGGATGGACCAATCAGACAAATAGCACCAATGGATGGATTTTCTTGGGACTATCTTACGTACCGTAACTGTCACAGGCTTTCACCCAGGAATATTTTATCACAACCACATGGTCGCATTCACAGAATTCATGGATAGTATGCATGGAGTAGATTTGATAGTATTGGACAACCCTCAAGTTTGGCAGGAAAGAAGATCTCATTGTTACCAGAAAGACAGAACGAAGATACTTTCGGCATTGAACATACTATAGCCCGGAATAACTGTGAATGTCTCATTGACTCAAACCTGTATGTTCAATCCTCACATATCCTGACAGAGCTGTGTTATACATGACCATTATTTTACAGTTGTCTAGAATTATTGACATCAGAGGATTGAATGTCAGGGAGAATGTCTGCAATGTGACGCACAGGTAAATAACGATAAAAGTATGACAACACAAAGTTTGTCTGAAGAAAATCATGCTGTGTATATTTTATGTTGCATTCCACCATTATTGTTCAAGCTATCTATTGATGAACCATCTTGAATCTTTTCATTTAATTTTTTAGATTGATGAATAATGAAATTATGGTGTGAATGAATACGAAAGGAAAGGGTTCCAAATATGCCTTTGAGTCAACTAAAATCTGAAGTTGTTGTGGGTATGTAAAACTGTACTCTTTGTGATGTATCTTACTGCGGCACCGCTCCCCTTCCCTTTTTGTTTTATAATACTTTATTCTATCATTAATGTTGTGCTATTTATTCGTTCATAGAATGTGTCATTAAAAACTGAAAGATGACAGAAGTAGAGGTGGAACGAGCTGTGCAGCAATTGCTGAAGTGTGCACCAGATAGGCAACGAGGAAGTTGAAGAAAGGACAGTCTTTAAGTTTCATTTGTGCAATATTTAATAGTTCAAAAAATATGCCAGTGCTTTTTAATTAAATTATTGGGTATATGTTGTGATAGATAACAGAGAGCAAAATAAATACAGTCATTTCAATGTTGATAATTGTGTTCATTTCAACGTTGAAATAAACGTAATTCTACAATGTACAATTAAATAAGACAACACACAGGGTTTATTTAAATGTGCAGTTCTACACAAAATGTACAGTTCTAAATCCAGTTGTGCAGTCCTTAAAACTCAAATGTGCAGTCACCAAATTAACAAAAATATAACCTCAAAACAGTCTTCTCGTTTTCCTTGTGGATGCTCCAGATGCCAGAAATACTGTCATTAGGCACCAAAAATGTGGGAGAGGGCTACCAGACCCTCATATTTTCCTCACAAGTTACATATGTGCTGGGGGTAATGGAACATGAGGTAAGATTGGTGCAAGGGAAGCTATCCAAAAGAGATTAGAGTGGGAGAACCTAATATTCTTTGCTGCCTGAGTCCTCAGGTTATTATATATTGACTATTCATGATTCACAATTACATGTTTTGAACCATTTTGTTTTGGGTGGTTGGGTGAAACAAATCTTTGCCAGAACTTACAAGCCTCCAAATTCAAAACTTGAGGGACACCCTCTACCTGTAGCCCCCACCCAACATGAGTTTGTCTGGCCCCACCCAACCACACCTTTATTCGGCCACCTATATACAAATTAAGAGTCTATCATAATTTACAACGTTAACTATAAATTTACAATGTTAAATATAGGTAAAACACTGACCAGTCAGGGGATTCTTTTATTTGTGACACATCAAAATGAATACCTTCCACATTTTCAATTCTGCTATACTTTGTGGATTCATTGGTATTGAAATAGTTTTATTTCATCATCAAAAATATTTCGTCATCAAATCTGCACCTTTAGAGTTCTGAAATAATAGCTCTTTCCTGTGTTTATTTCATTAATGTGGTTCTTCCATAGAACAAGCTTCATAAAGTCGGTTTGCAGTTTGTTTTTCCGGTCATACTAATTACCGACAAGAACCGTCAAGAACCGACAACAATACCAACAAGAACTCTGAAACTGCTTGAAACTTTTGATATTCTTGTTGTTTGACAAAATGACCTATTTCAGACAACCTTTCAACAGCCATAATACCTGTTTGAGCAAAACTAAGCTTATTGTGGTTATTTAAAATTTTAATTTTATTGAATTACAAAAATAAAACAACAAGATCATAGCCTGAAAGAATACATCAAAATGAGTAAACATGCAAGTTTTGGCTGTGAAATAATTAAAAATACCACCCTTGTTTGGCACGGATGTAACTGCGCGGTATTTTGCGAAGAAAACAATTATACGAGTTGACGTTACTTTGCAATAATTTGCGGACAGGAGAAAAGATCTGCGGAGTACATTGGGTATGGAGCAAATTGTGACCAATATTGTGAAGAACAAAACGTTACAAACGGACATTACTCATGTAATAATAGCGAGGTTCAAACTTCCTAAAATTTTCCGTTTGTGTATTTTCACAACGGTCGAAAAAATTACTGCCATCCGGTGCATTGTATCCGATACAACCGGTCCCAGGACAGTATGAGAGATCTATGGTTCTTGTTGTCGGTTCTTGTCGATATTCTTGATGGTTCTTGTCGGTTCTTGACGGTAATTAGTATGACTCTGTTTTTCATTTTTCACAAACTGTTTTGTTTCTTGATGACTTAACTTTCAAATCCACCACTTCATACAGATCTTTGAACAATCCTGCTTTGACAATACACAGGTTACGTTGACAATGCTTTGTTGTTCTTGAGCAAGGTTGTACTTACTTCACTTTCTGTGTTATGGTATACTCATCCAATCTTGAATGGAATATTTAGTAACAGATGCCTTGACGCCAAAAATTTTTACCAGCAATAATTCATTCATATGTGTTCTCTGGCGAGTAGCATACAGCACAGACTTAGTATTGTCAGTGGTCTCAGCCAGATATAAGTGAGAATCGCATGAATCCAGCACCAGCTAATTCATATCTAAGTATTACAAGCTAACACAGGTCCTGTTAGTGAAGTATAATATTTTGCAGGTTAACAAGGGTCCTGCTCATAAATTCTATAAATACTACAGGTTAACAAAGGCCCTGCTGGTGAATTATATAACATTAAACTCCTCAATAGCATATCTTCGCATCATATTAATAGCAGGCCCAATACATGTAACTTTTTCCCAATCCCTGCTGGAAAAACCTGAACCGATTCAAGACTATTGAAAGGGATGCTGTCTAAAGAGTTTGTCCCAAGCCTAATGTTAACCAATGTGATGTCTCTTGCTCCCAAAATCGACGAAGTTAGTCTTTTCCTTCTGAACAAAAATCCCGATGTAGTAATTATCACAGAAACCTGGCTTACAAATGCTATCGATAAAAGCCATATCAATATTCCCGAATATAACGTTGTTTGTAAAAACCAATCCTCTGGTAGTCACGGTGGCATTTGTTTATACTTGAGGAACTCGATCAGTTACAAAATTTTAGATCACTTTCACAACGTTGAAACCAAAGTTCTTAGGGTTAAAATTAGACCGACCAGACTTCCTCGAGGATTCCCATGTATAATTACTGGTACCTTATATCATCCTCCAAGTTTGGACAATAACATGATGTTAGAATACCTTGCAAAGTCTCTTACGGACATAGAAGGTCATTATCCTGGGTGTGGAATAATTTTAGCTGGCGACTTTAACCGTCTCAATGTAAGCAGACTATCTTGTCAGTTCCGAATGAAAAAACTTTGTTCATCTACACACAAGAGGGCGATCAAACACTAGACCTCATCCTCACCAATCTCAATAAATTCTATGACAAAAACTCCCTTTCATCCTTCCCTCCGTTCGGCCTATCCGACCACAATGTTTTACTATTAAATCCGAAAGAAAGGCGCTTGTTTTCATCTCAGGAAAGGAAAAAAGTTTTTTGGAAACGCGACACAAGGGAAATTCGGAAACGAGAATTGGGATGGTACCTTAGCTCCCTAAACTGGGACATACTCAATGATATTAAGTCATGCAATAGGAAAGAACAATTATTTGAGGACTTAATTAAGACTGGGCTGGATATAATAATGCCACTAAAGAAAACAAAACTACACACCAACAATCAACCTTGGATAACACCTGAATTTATCACCCTGATTAAACGCCGACAGGAAGCTTTCGCTCAGAAAAAAATGACAGAATTTCATCACTACAGAAACCTTGTAAACTGAGAGAGAAAGCGTTTATGCGACAAATACTTTTCCACGAAAGTAATCCATCTAAAGGGTACCAAACTGTCTGTTTGGTGGCGTGAGCTGAAGCGTATTTCAGGTATGCAGCCCAACAGTAGCAACGAAAACATTTTTACGCAGCTAAAATTTAATGAAGACGATTATCAAGGTAACCCAGAGGAAATTGCAAACAGAATAAAGAGGCCTTCTTACAACCCATGCGTGAATATGAACCTCTGTCGAGCAACCCATTCAACAATGGTGAGTTTGGTCCAGACCTAGAGACTTTTGAATTGACAGAACCAGATACATACAACCTAGTTAGGAAAATTAATGCTCGAAAAGCTAGCGGGCCTGATGGTATCCCAAACTGGTTGTGTAAAACGTATGCCGAGATACTCGCAAAACCAGTCTGTTATATTATCAACTCTTCCTTTGATGAACAGAGATTACCGTCAATGTGGAAACATGCTGACATCATCCCAGTCCCGAAGGTAAAACCAGCTACCCTTGCATTTTTCTGTGTTCAAGTGCAGTTTGTTGTCTGCTGACCATTTCTCAACAGACGTGGCAGCGGATTGAGTGTGGGTGAGGGAATTATTTGGGATGATTTCCGAAATTGTTGTGTCATCTACAAACTTCCACGTACTGATGCTGTTTACACGTAGGTCATTCACCATTAGAAGAAATAGCCAGGGGCCTAATTTGGTGCTTTGGGGTACTCCTGAGGGGACGTGTCTCCATGACGAAAGGGCGTCGGAAAGCTTCACTCTTTGATATCTGTTGGATAAAAAGTCTGTTATCCAGGAGCACACCTTTCGGGGTAATGATGTCAGGTTTTGAAGTTTTTTAATTAGGATGGAATGGTCAAGTAGGTCAAATGCCTTTCTATAATCAAAAAGAGTTACTCTGACTGTTGTGCCAGATTTGTCTGTAGCTTGGGACCATTCATGGATCATTGAGATTAGGGCAAGTACTGAAGAGGACTTTGGTATGGCCCCGTACTGATCCGGATCTAATGTATTCATTATAGCAGGCACTACGTACTTTGTGATCACAAATTCTTCTGCAACTTTAGAGATTGATGGCATCAAGGAGATCGGTCGCAAATGTTTGTTGACATCAGTAAGGAGCTGAGCATCGACTTTAAGCGTGTTCATCAGGAGTTTGACCCAATTAAAGTAGACAACGTTCCACTCAAAATAGTGGACCATGCAAAAATTCTGGACCTGATAGTCTCGAACTCATTACAATGGAACCTCCATGTCGACCATGTCATTAGGTAGTTCTACCCATTTGTTGAACCATTTTAACAAATTTTTTTCAAAATTTTGGTTTAGTGTGTTTTATATATTTTAACTAGAAAATACATGCATGCAGAAACCCTCGCCTTGCTGATAAAACCATTGTATTTTCCGAACATGAAGTATCTAAAGACAGTAGTTGTCATGGTAACACAATAATTTTTTAAGAATATTCTTACAAATGAAAAATCGCCTAAAAATATCACTTTTAATTACAAAATTATTAATTTCCCAACATATATATGTTAGCTATGTTATTATACGTAATATAAGCCTCAATTTAAGGTACAATTCAACCACAAACGCTTCGCCAAATGCTCTAAAGTCACTAGTGTTCTTTATAAAACTAATCTGCCTTTTAAAATGGCTTTATCGATAAACTTTGAGTTTGCAATAAAATGATTTCAAATTCTTGCTGTGCAAATAACTTTGCTTTCTTTTTTATTTAAAAAATTCAATATCATAAAAAAGAGAATCAATATTAAAGATACACTGAAATTATATGCTGTCTTGTTTAGTTGTTTCATATACGCAAAGGCCGTCAGGTTTTAAAGCCATTAATCATTATAAAATCAATATTTAAAACAACCTTACCTTCGTTAACGTCGGCTCCCTTCTTTTAGCCGAATCTTTCACAGTTTCTTTCTGAGAGAGCTTTTGAAATTTACAAAATCTTGCAAAAATGCGAGCAAAAATGAAATATATTTGCAAGAAATTTATCAATCATCAAATCAAGAAATGTTTGCTATTTCGCTGTCGTCATGCAGTCATTATAATGCAAACTTTAAATTCGACCAATCAGTGTCCGCTATTCATGACAGTCCACCATATTTTTGAGATCAGTGAGGATGACCACCCACCGAAACATCGTTGGTGAACCACGTCCGCGATATTTGATGAACTTTAGACTTCGCTAATGCTTTTGTACCGCTAATGCCTTCGCTAATGAATTAGTACCCTCGCACGGGACCTTCGCGCCGTTGGCTCGGGGAATATTGTACTTTCAGAATTTATGGTCACTTTTATGAAATATTTATTTTTTTAATGCGTAAAATGCTTTTAAAGTGGTCATGATCCAAAATTTTCACCCTATCCAACACCTTAGCAACACGTTTTTATCCAAAATTGACATGAATTATTAAAAAAAACGAGTCTTTTGTAGTTTCTACTTTTGATGTATGTTTTTTAAGGTCCTTTTTGTTAGCTGCAATTTGATTGGTCCATTTTGCGTGTACATGGCAACACATTTTTCATAGCAACTTCGCGATCATTCGCAAAGCTCTGGCTGTAAACATAGCGTCGAAAATCTTTGTTATTTCTGAATATTTAGTCAAAAATGACTGTTTTTTGTTGAATGTTAGTATCATTATGTCATTGTGTTTGTGATTTGCGATAAAAATATGGGAAATAATCGAAATAGAAAGAGAAAAAAGGCAAGAAATTGACCGTCAAAGAAGGCCACGAAATTCAAGATGGCGGCGAAGCATGTGATCAAAACCCTGAGCATTTTAAGATGAAAATAGACGATGTAAGTGTAAAGTTTGGGTAGAATCCTGGTCATACTGACTCTGTTAAATAAGGTA